CTCACATGGCCCACTGCGGTTCAAATCACAGCCCTGGCAGCTTGAAAAACACATCAGGCACATGTGTGCATGCATGCCCCCACGTCCTGATGAGTTGAAGAAATGGAGGGAAAAGGATTGTGTGACCATACCCGTGGTGGTGGGAGGGGGAGGTTGCATTTTCTCTTTCTCTTTGGTGAATGTGTGCACCCTCTTGGAGAAGGAGATGAAGGGAGAAAAACAGTGAGTTGAAAATAAAAAAGACATTTCAACAGGATTTGTTTGTTGATACAATTAAAATAAGTGATGTGAGCTGCTACAAAATGTTATTGCATTCTCAGTCCAGCCTCTGTACAGTTGGTTGCATGCAGGACTGCGGAGCTGGAAGCCACATGTCACCTGTGGTTTGAGACTTGTCCTGTTCAGCTTGAAAGCACACCAGGTGCTTGTGTGTATGCCCAAGATCCTAGTAGGCTGGGGGTCTGGAGAAAGGGGATTGTGGTATAACTGAGCTCTACTGTATCTTTCTCATTCGTGTATGCACACATTCAATCATGAATTAAAAAGAAAGAAAAGGATATTACATTCTCCACTTCTCTCATCTTCTCTCATTTGTGTTACGATTTTGCATAGCCCCTGGCTTTTGATTTGCAATAGGAAACATTATCTGGTATCTCCGGAAAGAATCTACCTTTGGTAAATTCATTGTCCAAGGGAATCTTAGCTTAAGTCTGAGAAGCAGTAGCACAGTATTGTCAAGGGAAAAAGCAACAGGTATTTGGCAAGTTAGTGAGGTTTCTTCTTCAGGAAATGATAAGATTTTTGAAAGAATATTACACTTTGAAACTAACTCTTTTTGCAAATTGTTTTGTTCTCATTTTTGCTGTAGGGCTCGTATACTCCAAAGAGAGATGGCAGGGGGAGTGAGAAATCTCCCCCCAAAAGGGGTAGCCATGCCACAACCCTTTCTCCTCCATTCTCCTCTTGGAATTTTGGGCATGCATTCACATGCACCTGGGTTGATTTTCTTTCTTCTATTTATTTATTTATTTAAGGTGTTTTTGTTTTTGTTTTGCCATGGGAGCATGTGCTTGCTGGACAGAGAAACAGAGACAGAGGGAAAGTGAGCAATCATTCTCAAGTGGGGATGACCACTCTGCAATCCCTTCTTGCCCACTCTCCTCTTGGGATTTTGGGGATGCACACACATGTACATGCACCCAGCATGATTTTCAAGCTGCCAGGTCTGGATCTTGAACTGCAGTCAGCTGTGTGGGCGTCCAGCAACTTAACTACTGTACCATTTACTGGTCCTACCCTGCATGATTTTCAAACTGCTTGGTCTGGGACTTGAACCACTCAGTTGGCCATGTGGAATTCAGTGTCAACCTCTACACCACCTGCTGGCCCCTTTAGTTTTTTAAATTGAAGCCTTACTTGTTTTTCTTACCAGTTTCTAAGTTCTTGATATATTAGGAAGTCTCTCATCCATTTGTTTGAGTTAGAGCACAGCCAATTATTTTGAGGCTAGGTTTTACCTGCCCAAGGGTATTCTCTTGGGAGGCAAGCCTTCCATGGAGTTGTGTGTCCTAGTTGGCAGCTTCAGTTGTAAGAAGAGGATTTATTCTCCCTCTGCAGCTCAGCTGATTGTGAAAGCCAGGAGTCTGGCCTTAACTGGCCTTGTGGAACGACTCCTGTGAGGAACTTGTTGGCATGTGCAACTTCCTTCTCTTGGCCATTCATTGCTTATTGAAGGCAGAATTCCTCGAAAGCCTTGATGCTGGCTTTTTCATCCAGTTTTTGGTCTCGGTATTCTGTTTAATCCTCAGCTTGAACCAACCTAGCTAAGGACTGCATTCTTAGATCACTGTATTTTGGCACTGACAACACAAACGTGTGCATGCACACCCATTGCAATCATTGAGCAAACTGTAAGAAACAATCTTATAATCCCATGACACTTCCTGTCTTTTTATTTAAGTTTACTGTATATAGGGCATATGTGCTCACCAGAGAGAGAGAGAGGGAAAGTGAGAAATTACCCGCCAGGGAGGTTGGTCATACCACAATCCCTTCTCCTTCATTCTTCTCTTGAGATTTGGGGTACCCACACATGTTTTTCAAGCTGCTGGATGTGGGACTCAAACTACGGAGCTGGCCATGTGGATCCAGTCACTTTAACTTCCATACCACCTTCTAGCACTTCCTCAAGTCTTAGAACCAAGAATAGCTATGATTTTCCTGGTTGATTTTTGTAGACATGAACCATGAAAACAGTGCTTTTCCAGGCAGTAATCCCAAAAATAGACAAGTGGGATTAAAAAGCTCCTGCATAGCAAAAGAAACAGTAATTAGAGTGAAAAGACATCCCTCAGAATGGGAGAATATACTTGCAAACTCCCCCTCACATATGGGACTGATAACCAAAATATACAGGGAACTCAAGCAGCTTACCCACACACACAAAAAATCAGTCCAATTAAAAGATGGACAGTTGTCCAAGCAAGATATATGAACAGCCAAAAAGTGTATCAAAAATGCTCAACATCCCTTACCAGAAGGGAGACGCAAATCAAAACCACAAGATACCACCTAATCCCAGTCAGAATAGTTAAGATTTAAAAAAATAAAGAATGATAAGTGTTGGCGGGGATGTGGTGAAAAGGGAACCCTCCTACACTGTTGGTGGGAATGTAAACTAGTTCAACCACTGTGGAGAACAATATGGAGGTTCCTCAAAGACCTACAAATAGAACTACCATATGATCCAGTAATTACACCCTTGTGTATCTACCTGAAGGACAGGAATATGCTCAGTAGGAAAAACACGTGCACATCCATGTTGACTGTGGCATTATGCACAATTGCTAAAACATGGAATCATCCCAAATGTCCAAGGACAGATGAATGGATTGAAAAAGTATGGCACATATACGCCATGGAATACTACTCAGTCATAGAAAACAAGACCCTCACATTTGATAGAAAGAGGATAAATATGGAAGTTTTAATACTAAGTGAAACAAGCCAGACTATGAAAGAGAGGCATTGTATGTCTCCACTTAATATATACTGAATGCCTGCACTCTGTCAGAAACTGAAAGATTGGAAGATAAAAAACTATGGAGAGCAACTGTGGATACTAGAGACAGTGTAGGAGGAGGATGGGAACTGTGGTAAGTGGGATGGAGGGAATCAAGGAGGGGAAAGAAACAAAACATTAAAGGGACACGAAAATAGAAAACTTGGGCCAGCAGATGGTGTAGCGGTTACATCACTGGACTCTCAGATGGCCCACCACAGTTCAAGTCCTGGACCTGGTGACTTAAAGATCATGCCTGGTGTGTGTGCATGCGTGCCCACGATCCCAGGAGGAGAATGGAGAAGATATTATGGCATGGCCATCCCCCCGGGGGGTAATTTCTCACTTTCCCTCTCGCTATCCGTCTCTCCAGGGAGTGCAGACACCCTAAGGCAAAACCTCTTTAAATTAAAAATGGAGGACCAGCAGGTGACTTGGTGGTAAGGCACTGGATATTCCCACATGACTGACCACGGTTCAAATCCTGGATCTAGTGGCTTGCTTTCTCACTTTCTCTCTCTCTCTCTGTCTTTCTCTAGTCAAATTAAAATAAATGAATAAATAAATAAAATAAATAATTCTTTTACAAAATGGAAAACTATCTGTTAATGGTAATGTGTATGATAATATCATTGATTGGTCTAATATACAGTATATTCATGCTGGGAAAAATTAATTTTTTTAAAATTCTAAATCTCTTTTAAAAAAATCAAACAGTGCTTTTCAGTTAGTTTAAGCCATGGAGAATAGTGAAGACATATCCAAAATCCTCCTTCGGCAAGTACACAGGGCCTTAGGGTGTGTGCTTATCCCAACTGCAAGTTACTGTTTTTCCTATTCTTATTTCCTGTTTGGCCCCCAGATTCCTTCTTTTTAAAATCTTGTACTTAACAATTTTCTAAAACTGCTTCAACCTCATTTTAGAACAATACAACATGTAAACAAAATGAAATACAATGTTAATGATTTATATTTGTTGCAAACATCTTACCAATTTGTTTTTTAATTATTTAATTTCATTTATTATTATTATTATTTAATTTGACCAGAGACAGAGGGAGGATGGGGGAGGGGAGTAAGAAAGCAAATTGCTAGGTCCGGGATTTAAACTGGCGTCGACCATGTGGGAGTCCAGTGCCCCAACTGCCATGTCACCTGCCAGCCCCACCAATTTGTTTTTAAATTTTACTTGAGGGCTAACCCTGTTTATAGGGAGCCAGATCTCACAAGGCTGATTGTAGTTCAGGCCTGAGCCCTGGTGGCTTCCAGGCATGGCCCAAGTGCCCAGGGTCCTGACAAGGTGAAGATGTGGAGGAAGGGGCATTGTGGCATGACCATGCCCCCTTGAGGGGTGCTTTCTGTCTCCCCTGTCTCTCTTTGTGTTTCACATGTGCTCTCTGGCAATTAAATTTATTTTGTCTTGTTTTAAATGTTATATTTGTTAATGTAATCAGCTATATCGGTTCTTTGTGGTTATCATGAAGAGAATTGTTGCCATAGGTTTGAGAACCCCTTGGCTGCCACACGTGACTCCTTTAACAAATACTGTGTTCAGAGCTTGAGGAAGCAGAGATTTCTTCTAATGCTCTTACTTCTACAGGGTTCAGTTTCATGGTTTACCGAATTTCAGTTTCAAGGACCACATTTGTGCAGAAAGGCAGTTATGTGCTAGGACTGGTTGTACTAGAAGGCCTGGAAAATCCCTGGTGTTGAACCTGGTTCTTCACAAAATAGCGGGCATTTGTATGTTAAATTTGGCTTATGTATTAGGTGTGGCTTATGTATTAGGTGTGGCTTATGTATTAGGTTCTGTTCTTTGAAACGATTGAACCATGCTCTTTTCCAAAAGCTGCCTGTCCCTGCCGTCTAGGCCTGGGGGTGCAGTCTGCTGGTGTCAGCAGTGATGACTTCAGTGACGTTTTCTGCTTTTCTTTTTCAGAGTACGATCGATTGGGTTTCCTCCTAAAGCTGGACTCTAAACTGTGAGTAAATTGAGAAAATGCCTTGGCTCTGTAGTAAGGATGTCTGTGGGAATTCGGGTCTAACTTTGAAGGGCCAGTTCTCATCACCCATGTGTTGTTGGGAGGTTCCACAGGGTTTCTATCTTTGAGCTGTCAGAGGATCTTGGAGCATGTTACAGCCTGCAGGGGCCTGGAGAGGATGGGAGAGTGAGTGCAAACTTAGTCTTAGACTTTTCTGGCATAGGCAGCTCATAAGAAGGAGGCCACTGCCAGTAGTTTGAATGACAAGGGGGCCCTGGAAAGGCTTCTACAGAGACGGGGTGGTGGAGTCACAACAGGAGGCAGTGGGCTCTCAGAGATGTCTGCCCTCTGGTCTGCACAACCCTCTGTGATCAGCCCCCCATCTTCCTCTCAGCTTCAACCCCCCTCACTCCTGCCACAGGTAAACCCTCCTTTTTCTTCTGACTTTGTATATGCTTATTACCTTAGCCTGAAATTCTCTTTCCTTGCTAGTCCAAAACTTAGAGACCATTTTCTTCCCACACAAAATGAATGACCTCTTCTTCTATGCTTCTTTGAATTCTCTACCCCCTACTAATGATCTCACTATACTGTACTTAACTGTGTAATAATTACTAATTTATTAAGGGCACAGGCTTGGAGCCAGCCAAAGCTTGGTTCGAATCCCAGATTGCTGTTTGTTCTCTTTGTGATTTGGGGCAAGCTACTTAATCAGTCTGAGCCTCAGTTTCATGTACAAGATGAAGATAACAGTGTACATACTTCACAAGGGTTATTGTAAGGTCTTAATTGAAATGATTAATTTGTAGGGGACTTTCCAGTACAGGGTATCTAATCTTTCCAGGATCCTTCCCTGTTCTGGCCTTCCCGGTCTTTCTAGGTCTTTCTGGTGTTCTTGCCCTGCATAAGACCTCTCAAATTTTGATGCTCAGTAAACATTTGCAAAACTACCTGACCACCGCCAACTGTGGCTCCTTCCTGTTGTTGGTCATCTCTGTGTATCACGTCCCTGTCCTCTACCAGACAGACATCTTGAAAGATCAGAATAGTGTCTCTTTCCTTTCCTCTCTCGTATCAAACCTTGTCCACAGCTGCTTCTGATGATGTCTTCCTATATACATAAGACATGAAGCCAGGGGCTGTTTGATTTTCCCACGATTGCCTGGCATCTGGCCCCTTTTCCTGGAATCTGGCTTCTTGGCTCTGGTGCCTCGTACTATGAGTTCAGGCATTGTAACTCTCAGTTTTTATACGTCACAGAGGCAGCTACAAGGGGAGAACAGTCTGCCCTTATAGCAGCCTGTTAGAGAGATGCCAGCCTCATGTTAATGTCTATGTAATGGGGCTTGTGCTGGAAAGCCACAGGCTTCCCTCTTAGGAAATTCTCTTTTTTTTTTTTTTTTTTTTTGAGGGTTTTTTGGTTATAGGGTGTGTGCGCTTGCCAGACAGACAGAGAGAGACAGAGAGACAGAAAGTGAGAAATCACCCCCCAGGGGGATGGCCACGCCACAATCCCTTCTCTTCCATTCTCCTCTTGGGATCTTGGGTACCCACGCACATGCGCCCGATGTGAGTTTTAAGCCACCGGGTCCAGGACGTGAACCACGGTCGACTACATGGGAGTCCAGCGACATAGCCATTACGCTAACTGCTGGTCCCCCTCTTAGGAAATTCTTAATTTAGTACTCTGGGCAAAAAACAAATCAAGCATAAGCCATAAGCAAGTGAAATGCCACCAGAACAAAGGAGATGTAGTAATTACCAAGTTGAATCACTTTGATAAACAAAAGACATGTTACCTAGGACATATTAACTATAGTGTTTAAACTGTCTTCCACAGTATAAGGAGGAGGAGCGCACTCCCGCCTTGCTGTTCTGACAGTTAAGTGTTGCCTACCAGGCCAGTTCCTTGAACTATTTAAGTCAACCTGGTCTTTAGCCCAGGGAATTGGCTTGGCTTCATTTGAGTTAATATACAATTTAAAGTACAAGCTAAAACTTTCCTGCCATTTCCTACAAGGCTTTTCTAGTACGATGGTGTCTTCAGAATACGAAGACAGATATGGGAAAAAGGTTTCTACCTGCTTCTGGGATCTGCTTTTTTTACTTTTTTTTTTTTTTTTTGGAGAGATTTTCACTGTAGGGCGTGTGCGCTCGCCAGACAGACAGAGAGAGACATAGAGACAGAAAGCGAGAAATCACCCCCCAGGGGGGATGGTCACGCCGCAATCCCTTCTCCTCCATTCTCCTCTCGGGATCTTGGGCACGCACGCACACGTGCCCGGCGTGAGTTTTAAGCCACCGGGTCCGGGACACGAACCGCGGTCGACTACGTGGGAGTCCAGCGACATAGCCATTACGCTAACTGCTGGTTCCCGGGATCTGCTTTTTTTGAGGCAATTTCTCATCAACATTCAGTTCTATTACAGAGTTTCTCTGGTTGTCTTAGGTGTGTGTGTCTTAGGTTCTATTTATTTATTTTTTTGGAGAGGTTTTCGCTATAGGGCGCATGCGCTCGCCAGACAGACAGAGAGAGAGACATAGAGACAGAAAGCGAGAAATCACCCCCCAGGGGGGATGGTCACGCCGCAATCCCTTCTCCTCCATTCTCCTCTCGGGATCTTGGGCACGCACGCACACGTGCCCGGCGTGAGTTTTAAGCCACCGGGTCCTGGACGCGAACCGTGGTCGACTACGTGGGAGTCCAGCGACATAGCCATTACGCTAACTGCTAGTTCCCAGGTTCTATTCCTGACATGAAGGAAGGAACCTGAACTTGAATCTGAAGAACTAGATTTGAATTCTATTTCTGCTACTTGGAACTACATGACCTTAGATAATTCATTTTAGCTTTCTAAACCCCAGGTTCCCTTTATGAAAAATGTAGATAATACTTACTTCCTGTGATTTTTAAAAATTTTTATTTATTCATTCATTTATTTTAATTTGACCAGAGAGAGGCACACACAGAGAGAGAGGGAGGGAAAGTGAGAAAGCAAGCCACCAGGTTCAAGACTTAAACTGTGGTCAGTCATGTGGGAATGTCCAGGGCCTTAACCACCATGCCACCTGCTAGTCCCCCTTACTTCCTATGATTTTATAAAGTATTAAACAAAGTGTTCTATGAAGTATGAATGAGTGTACAAATATGCAGTTTTTATTTATCTTGATTGGGATTCATTTAGCTTCTTTTTTTTTAAGAATTTTTAAATTTAACTTAATTTATTTATTTCAATTTGACCAGAGAGGGACAGAGTGTGTGTGTGTGTGTGTGTGTGTGTGTGTGTGTGTGAAAGAGAGGGAGAGAGAGAGAGAGAGGAGGAAAGTGAAAAAGCCACTAGGTCTGGGACTTGAACTACAGTTGGCCATGAGGGAGTCCAGTGCCCTTAACTACCATGCCACCTGCCAGCCCTGGGATTCATTTAGCTTCTTGAGTATAAGAATGTGTATGTTCTGGATAATTCTCACTGTTATCTCTTTAAATATTGCCTCTCACCCCATCCATTTCTTTTTTTTGGGGGGGGGAGGTTTGCTATAGAGCGCGTGCGCTTGCCAGACAGAGAGACAAAAAGCGAGAAATCACCCCCCAAGGGCATGGCCACGCCACAATCCCTTCTCCTCCTTTCTCCTCTGGGGATCTTGGGCACTCACACACACACGCCCAGGGTGAGTTTTAAGCCACCAGGTCCAGGATGCGAACCGCAGTCAACTACATGGGAGTCCAGCAACATAGCCATTATGCTAACTGCTGGTCCCCTCATTTCTATTTTGATAATTATCAAATGTTAGACTTTGGTATAGCTGCCAGCTCTTTTAACTTCTCTTACATATTTTTCATCTTTTAATCCATATTAAACCAGAGCCCCAGAGGATTCAGCATAAGGATAAACTAAAACTAAGCCTGAACCTCCCCAACGAAGACTGTGGGAAAGGTTACCATAGCACTGAATATATCAGGGCAAAAGTTAATAAAACAAAACACTTGGTAGTCATTGCCAGAATTCTTATTACTCAGATAATCCAAGGAACCTCTAACCAGAAACTTAGCGGAAGGTGTTGCAGACTAGTAGTGCCTTCAAGCAACTGGCAGAAGCAAACCCTGTCTAGAAGAAGACATATAAATTCCTCACAAATAATTTCATGAAACTAGAGGCTAACAGTAAAAAAATAACTAAACACACAGGAAATACTTCCACTAGTGAGAGCTAGGCAGAACAGCAGACTATAGAAAAGGACCCACGAAGATTTCTGCAATTGGAATTACCAGACATGGTTTATAAAGCAATTACATGTAAAATATTTAAAGAAACAAAAGACAAGTTTGTAAAATAGGGGAGTATGAAATATAAAATTAGTAGATTTGAAAAACATGTTTCTAAAGTTGAAAAATATAATAATGAAGATTAAAAACTTAGTAGAAGGGTTTAGCAGCTGATTAGATACAATTGAAGACAGTTACTAAACTGGAAGTTAAGTCAGAAGAAATAATTTATAACGGGGGTCAGCAAACTTTCTGTAAAGGACCAGATAGTAAATATTTCAGAATTTTGAGGCCTTACTGTTTTGTCACAATTACTCAACTCTGCTGTTGTAACATGAAAGCATATATAGATAGTACATGCTTGAATGATAAAATATTCAAATAAAATTTAATAGACACTGAAATTTTAGTTTCATATAATTTTTATGTGTCATAAAGTACTATGATTCTTTTATTATTTTTTTACCACCTATTAAAAATGTAAGTCATTCTTAACTCATGGGCCATACCAAAAACAGGTAGTGGTTTGGCCTTGACCCACAGGTCATAGTTAACTGACTCTTAATTGAGAATGCCACATAGATATATGTTCAAGAGAACTGTCTCTTCATCCCAGGTATCTTCTGTTCTTGAAACTGTATAATACAGAAGTAATTTTTTAGAAATAATTATTTATTTAGTTTTATTTCTTTTTTTAGAGAGAGATTTCTGCTATAGGGTGCATGTGTTCACTGGAGAG